AGAGAGAGAGAGAGAGAGAGAGAGAGAGAGAGAGAGAGAGAGAGAGAGAGAGAGATTTAAACTAAATAAGTGAATACTCTTGGAAAAACACATAGTAATTTTATAATTTATTATACCTATTGTTAATTTTTCATGAGTTTTAAAAAGTTGAGTTCTGTATAAAATTAAAAATTATTATAGTCTTACTTACAGCCAGGAAGAGTTTGTGTGACAATCCAAGGTGTAGAATTGCCATAACCAGCATTTGTACTAGCAGAAACACTAAATCGATACCATCTAAATTTTTTCAGATCATTTACTGTTTCTTCTGCAACTTTATCAGCAAGATATGAGTGTTGCTCCTTCTCATATTCAATACATTCAGAAGAATCCCAACTATTGCAATGGATGGATTGTAACTGTGTAGTAATCTTGTAGTTTTGAAAGTAGCCCAAAATAGTAACTGGCATTATCCATTTCAAGGTCACATTTGTTGACTGAATATTTGAAAATATTATATCTCTTGGAGTGCTTGGAGCTAAAATAGCAATAATAAAAGAATAATTATAATATCACTATATTATTGTGCATTAAAGCTAAAATACACTTCGTATTATTTATCCAGATGTGTTTATATCTACACTGTTTCTCAGTCTGAAAGTCTTTATTCCATACACTAAAGAATGGATATTTCCCTTAGTCACAGTCATAACATTGGAAATATAAACAACTGAGAATACAAATATACTTTATGAAGTATACATAGTTTATACAAATGTTGTATATCCTTAGAATCTTTGGATAAACCATTCATATCAACTTTCTGCTGTTTAGAAACATATATTCATTGTTATTACAATGTGCTTTAGACTTCAGTTTGAATAAGGAAGATTAGGACAGTTATCGTTAGTTTGGTTACATCATCTTTTGATACCATTGCTACATAGAATTCTTTTGGTACCTCTTTAAAAATTGAGAAATTTAGCACAACCATTTGAAATATATATATATACAGCAAGATTTATTAGGGATGAAGGGACTATAATGTGCATGAAGATTTATTTGTAATTTAAGAACTTTTCTCATTAGTTCCAATGAAAAAGCATACAGTATTCCTCTGTGTATCAGAATTCTTTTCTTCGGCTGCATCTGCTAAAGTAAATATCTATATTTACATCTGAGATATTACAGTATTTTAAAGATGTTTTGAATATTTAACTTATTTCTAAAGACAAAAGACAAAGAATGCACAATGTTATAAAAGATGAAAATAACCTGAAAACAACTGAAAATTATAGCTATTTATTTTTCTAAATTAAAGTAATACTAATGAAATCTAGTACCTGTTCATATTTTATAAATATGATCTGGCTATCATGATATATTACACCAGTTATTGTTAAACTATTGAATGCATATGAATCATCTTTTAAAACAAATATTTCATCTATCCATGGGAGGAACCATATTTTCTTTCAGTATTCTCCCTGTGTACTCTTTTCTCTTTCAGTTTAAGCATTTTATGCAAAGCACAGAAAGCAGAGAAAAATGAATAGGAAATAGGAAAGAAATTCAGACTTAAACTAAAGGAAATATACTGTAGCTAAATCTAGTTTATTTTGCTATTTACTAAGCCTCTCTGAAAAATTATTATTGCACCTACTATGTCCGTTATCCATCACTTTATACATTGCCTTTTCTGGTTTAAATTAACATCTCTTTTTCAGAATCTCATCAACTTGATCCAACTATAATTTTCTTGATTTTTCCCTGCCTCTTAATCCATTCAATCTTCTTTTATAGATTATTCTCTGATTTTATTCTCATTCCTGACAAAACCAACACAGCATTATTATTCCCATTAATACAGAGCTTGTTCTTCATTCTATCTTTTGCTTTACACATGTTTTTTAAGTCACAAGCACTGCATTCAACTTATTTCTATATCCTCTACCCAAATTCTTATTTCCATAGAACAAAGTAGACAGAAGAACACACTTATGCAAAACCATTTTTGTTTCTTTTGAAAAACTTTCAAACAGACTATACATTACATACTACAGACCCTTCTATCAGTATGTCTCCACTCATTTTGCCATCTTTGGTTAATATTCTATGGAGGTGCATTCACTCAGTTTCCCCTGTTAAACACAACTACCTTGCTCCTCGATTATTTATTTTAAGACCCATATTCCTTGTTGCATCATAAAATCTATTTTTATATGCATGGCTAATCATTTGAATTTTCAACTGTTCAATATGACATCATATGCATATAAAAGAACACATAAATTACATTTCAAGTAACCGTCATATATTTATCCACAAATATTCATATCTTATAACTTTGTTTTAATTCTCAGTGTTGAACCATTTGTAGATTTAATATCATGTGTGCTTTATCATATTTTAGAATAGCAATTAAGTCACAAATGTAAATAAAGCCACTTTTATACAAGCATACTCATACTATTTTATGCAAGCTACAATTTCTAATTTAGAGACTACACTTGAAGACTGTCCATTAGTGTTGCTTATTTCCCACAAACTAGGGCATGGAGTATGCTAATACACACTGAGAATATACAGAAATAAATAATTTCATAACTGAGAATGATTCATTTGAAAAACTATTGGTAAAGAGTTTTAAATACAAAGGAAATTCTACTAATATTTATTACCCAATATTTTCCAAATGATTTTTTTCAATTAAAGATAAAGAAATGTAAAGATATATAAATGGTTTCAGGCCACTGGCAATATTCATATCAATCTACCCTAGAAACCTTTCATCTATGCAACTTATATTAAGATCAGAAATTGACCTCTAGGAAAGAAGAGATCCCTAGAATTCAGAATCTCCTCTTGAATTCTCACAATTTGAATCCCTTATGTAGACTGATTACCTATTATTTATTTAAAAAATAGTTTTCCTTGAAAGGAGTATGCAGTCATGGGGCTGGCTGGTGGCATAAGAATCTTCTCTTGGCCTTCATCAACCAATTTTTTAACAGGGTTAAATTGTCTCCTTGAATATTTTCTTGCCTCTTTGAAATTTCTTATAATTTTATAAACTTTTCAAATTTAAATTTTAACTTTAACATTTTAATTCTCATATACTGTTTTATGTTTTGGAATTGTATTGTACACTACCCAGAGTCTTCTTTGAGGGAGATACATAGTCTAGAAATGCAAAATATAAATATAAATTGGAGCACTGTCTTACATTGTTGAGAATTTGATAATAGGAGATGTAAAATATTAGTTGTGTTTCACCTTTTCCACTATTTTTATAAGCTTTCATTGCAGTTTTTTTAAACTTCTAAATCTAAATATTAAATATTTTTTAAAAATAAAAATTTTACCATCACATTCTTTTTTTCCAGTTCTCAGAAGAAGTTATATTTCCATTCAGTTTCTATATGCCGGTAGCATTTATTCTCACAACTTTGTATGTTTTTATTCTATAAATTGAAGCAAATTATCCAACAGTGTAGAGTATGACAAAAGATGTAACATTCAGTTGAGAATGCCACTGTATCATATGGTATCATATGTAATTCTTTTTATGATCATGTATAGTTACACCCTGTTGTAATAAACCTAACAATAAACAATCAAGTTATACTTTGAAGGCTCATGTTCAGAGATTTTGGAATGAGATGATGAACATAATTTGATTTCATTTAGCATCAGAAATAAATGCCTTGGCAGTGACTCTGTATTAGCTATGTGTCTGTGACTAACTCTGTCTACCATAAATAAGAAGCTGAGAATAACTTTAAAACTGTTTCCATTCCTAATTGCAAGTCTCCAATTTCAAGTGGCTGCTACTCAACACAAAAAATATGCATGAGAACATAGTTAAGACAATGTTAACCCAATAATAAAAACTTTATTGCTGTTATAGTTGCTTGCATGAATTCCAAACACAATTACTTGGAACTATTGCTCTTCTAATATATTTTACAAAATTAACACAACAGAAGTTTTAACACATATCAATAGTACAGTTTTGTTCCACTCAGCTCTGAAAACTTACTTGAAAAGACATTATGAAAGAAATTTCTGAAATTATTAATTGTAGCTTGACATGTAGGGAATTGGTACCTGTTTCTGGAAATGTGCTGGCATTGCATAACTGTTCTTTCCCTTTTCCAGCAGCTGTTGCAGCTTTTATTTTAAACTGGTAAGTTGTATTGGATAACAAGTTTCTCAAAATACACAATGTTTCATTATGAGATGATGAGATAGTTGAATTCTCTCTAAATGTTACGATGTAATTTGTAATTATTCCATTTGTTTTCAAAGGAGGGTCCCATTGGAGTAAGACTGACTGCCAACTGGTTGCAATACACTGGATATTCTGGACAATATCTGGTGCTTCAAAGAAAAGTACAGATTATATTCTGATAAAGTTGAAAAGGCGGTTGCAACTTCAGTATGATTAAAAACAATTCAAATGCAAGAAGCATTTCAGCATTTCATATGATATCATAATAAAAGCACTTTAGTAGATCTACTAAAGGAAGTTGTTGACTTTTTCCACAGCAGGAAAAAATACAATAGAAAGAAATATATATTTTGAGTACCTCTACTTTATTAATTATGGTTGTCATAATTTCTCTATATAGGAGATACATATATGCTTCTTGAGCCAAATAAACTAGCATATTGGCAATTGAAAGATGGATGGAACTGGGAGAAGAAAATCAGCATTAATTAATATTAATAATCTTAATAACTGTCCAACTGGGTTTATAATAATCAGATCCTGAAATTAGAATACACTTTTGATTTTTAAGTAATAGATGAGAAATTCATAGGTTTATTTAGATTAAATTTGGAACAGCTAAAATGTTTCATCTGCAAAACCAGTACATATTAAAATATTTGATCTTAAACAATCTAACCTGATTCCATTGTTGTGAATTGTACAAGGTTACTAAATTGATTGCCATTTCCAACTTTTGTAAATGCAGAAACACTGATGGAATACATTGAGAATGGTTCTAATCCAAGTATATTAGCTTCACTGTGTGAACCTGAAATGTTCTTAAATTAAGAAAATAATTAGTTACCATAATTGCTGTAATAAATTCTTCAGAATCATACAATAATCAATTAATGGGAAATCAATCTATTATGAAATACATAATTTTCTGATACTAGACTCCATTCCCAGTGTTATATTCAGCTCATAAAGCATGTTCATGTGAATTTAGAGGGAAAAAATTACATGCATGCAGGACTACTGAAGCTTTCAAGTGAGGATTTATGGCAGACTAGATGGCCTTGAAAGAGTGGGAATGGCATTGTGTTGGAGATCAGTGGCCACAGAGCAAATTCTGATTAGCTTTGTCTTTCTGGATAAAGGAAAGATCACAAGATCACTTGCATTCTGGACAGCTGCTCCTTGTGATTAACTGTCCAGAATAGAGTTGACTCATGAATAAAATAGTTGGGGGGAGGGGTCAAATGAAAAGCCTCACTTTCTTAAACACTTGGATGGAATTGATTTACAGCCAAAGAGATGTTTTCTGTGTAGCAGGATAACACAATTCCACCTGATGAATAAATGTTCTTTTTACATTAAAATGGGAAAAAGAGGGGCTTTAAAGATTTAGAACTTTTGGCAAAAAAAAATTGACAAGGAGAGGATGTAAGATAGTTTAAATGGATAAAGAGGATTTTTTTTGTGTGAAAGTGCTTTTAAATAAATTGGAATTAAAATAGATAATCTAACTGGACCTTTGTGGAAATGTTTTTTGTTTACTATTAAAAAGTACAAACAATTGGTGGATTTTATAAAACCAAAGATAAAGATAATGTGAGCCAGACTATGATGCTGACTGTAACTACAGTACAGAGTGCATTTTAGACAAAAGTATTAAGGGCACAGGAAGACAAAATAGGAAAAAATAAAACGGACAGCTTGTTTTTCATGCTTTCCCTTGCAATTGCAACACTTTCAGTTTTAGATTACAATATTACAATAGCAACCAGCAAAAAAGTGGTAAAAAAAAACAGTGGAGAAGAGCAACTTGCAGAGCAAGGAATTATATCAGATTTACTTCTGAAAATGTTTGAAGAATTGAGCAATAAGTTAGCCAAATCACTTGATTAAATTGATTAAATCAATGGATACTAAACTGACAGGTTGTTTTTTTTTAAAAGTAATGGATCAAAGTCTTCTAAAAAAAGAAAGAGGTTTGGATAAAAAAAAGTGAGTGCTATACAGAAATAGAATGTTCTTTGAGTTTTGAAGGACATGGCCTGAGGGTTGAGTGGCATAGGTACTTGTTATATAAACATGGATAAACTCAGCCATAGATAAGCCAACCCACAAATTTTTAACCAAAACATCATGAAAAATGTATCAGCCATGGATAAGCTGACCTTTGGAATTTTGTGTTTTAATTTTCAAAATTGGCTTACCTGTGAGAGGCTTGTTTTTCAAGGTATTTTAGTTTTAAAAAATTGAGGGTCAGCTTATCCATGGATAGGTTTATTCATAGGAATATATGGGATATATGGGTACTTTAAGAAATATTACTGTATATATGCATAGATAAGCCCATCACAATTTTGGCGTGCATTTTGACAACTAAAAATCTTAGCTTATCCACAAATATATCTGGTACATTTTTTTGATTCTTAATATTTCCATTATTCATACTTTTTGCCAAGAAAAATGTTCCTCATCAAAAATAGTTTTAAGTTCATCTCCCAAAACTCCTAAATGGATTCAACTGATGTAGGCCTCTCCTGTTCTACCTATTTCAGAGTTGCTTCATCCAGGATGAAAGAAATGTTCTTTGATTTTTCCCTGGACAAACAAATTATCTTCTGATTATTACCCTCCACAGAACTGATGGTTTAAAAATATATATTTATAACTTTAATGTTTACTTATAATATTAATTGTGTTAATTGTACCTGATAAAAAGTAGCTTGATTATTGTTTTCAGAAATATTAAAAACATATATTTTAATGACACCATTTGGCCTAGGACTTGGATCCCATTTCAGCCATGCAGAGTTGTACGTGTAATTGATAACTGTCAGATTCTCTGGAGGTGCCAATGGGACTATGAAAGAAACATTATTCAGATTAAGGCAATGTGACAATACTTTACACCCAACAAAAAATCAAAACATTATACATTAACATTTTTGACATATTGTTCTCCTTATAAATATTCTATTTTTTAATTTTAAATTATATATGAAGCCACATTTTTCAGAGATCTAAACATCTTTCCTGCTAATCTGTATAAAGCCAGATGAGCTATATCAGGGGTGTCAAACTGCCGGACCACGTCATCCCAAAACCACGCCCACCCCCATTGCCGGCAATGGAGAAAAAGCTCTGATATGTCGCGCAACATCATGTGACGTCACGAGTTTGACATGCCTGAGCTATATATATGCCTTGGTAGCAATGTAAGTCCCTAGATGAGTAGTAGCTAGCAAATACAGAGAAACTGAAGCAGAATGACAGCTTACAAATTCACATACATTGTAATTGCATTTTTCAAATGTTCTATGGCTATGGCTGAGTAAATAGGTAGATATGATAAGGAAGTCATAAGATAGTCAAAGGTTCCATCCTATGAAATTCACAAAATAAAAATAACAGAGCCAAGGAGAGCAATGAATCTTGTAAACGTTGGATTCATTGAAAAATCTGCATCTTGCAAATTACTCACCTGACTCATCTGTAGAGAACATAAGAACAGCATATGGACCAGGCCCTTTTACAGTTCTAGCGGATGCAAAAAAGCTGTATAAAGTAAATGGCAAAAGGTCTTCTAAAATAATTGAATTATTGGAGGTAGTGGAAGAAACATTTTTTTCTGGCCCTTGTAGCTTTAAGTCATAGCCTCTTATAATGCCATTTGGCCGGTATGGAGGATCCCAAGATAACATCACTGAGGTAGATGAAAGGTTTCTGTAAGTTTTCAAAATAGGTGCAGAGTCTGGAGCTGCCAATTAATCAGGGAAGAAACATAAAATGGGAGAAGCAAACATTAATCTGAAATATATAGGAAGCATCAGTACAGGAGTATGTATGTATATGTGTGTGTGTGTGTGTGTGTGTGTCTGTATGCATGTGTGTAACATTTATAGCAAATTACCTGTTTATACACACACACACACACACACACATTCTTTAATAATTTTTTAAATAATTATTTTACACATAATGTTCACAAATAACATCACATTAAACCAATAAATGCTTTATTTTCTTATATGTATTTTATGTAAGTATGTTGCAGTAGTCTATCCTTGAGGCAATAAAGACATGAGATACTATTCCCAATACCTCTTACTCCAGGAAGGAAATGCTATTGGCACACCAGTTATAGAGCATCCTATCCACTTTTCAAAATCATCAAACAAATCCTAGGTGACATAATAAAGTCTTACTTATATCATTTTTTCAGGTCTTACTCTTGTAGAGTTGATAGCTGAATAAAGATATGCTATTTTATTGACAAAAGATTGCATAAGTACCTCACAACAGCTTGTAGGTAGAATTTCCTGCCTCTCCATATTCGAGACAGGGCACATAAACAAGGGTGTTGGATTTCATCCTGCCAGCACAGTAAAGGTGGAGAAGTACTTATACTTCATCTCCCTTATTACCAAACATGAGCTCCTACCAATATTTATTCAAATTCATATTTGGTCTTCTTCCACTCGTGATATAAGTCTCTTTTCTTTTTGTTTGTACATATAAAAGAACTAACCAACAGAGAGAGGCAACATGGACAGAATCATGAGCAACACTCTAATCCAGAGTTCACTTGACCACTTGATGGAATTTCCTGTTAGATTGCTGAAAAATTCCCAACTGTCTATCAGAATTCACTTGCAACTATGAGATGCTTTGGGCTGACCATCTTAATCAGTTCCCCAACTCTGTGGAAATCATCAGCAGTAACTATCCTTATTTAGACCAGGAAGCAATTCAATAATGGCAAAGAACTGGTCACAGTTACTTCCATGTTCATATCAAATGTCAACTCCTTATAAAGTAGATCTAATCTCAGAGGAACAATTAAGATTTCTAACAATTGGTGTTATGGGTTCTGATATCCATTTATTGTATAGAGAGTGCTGTAGCAGCATATGTGAAATGGATTCAGTGTCTATATTGGAACATACATAAGTGTGATTTTCATGGCATATTGGTGTATCTATCAGTTGTTGTCCTTATTGGTAATTTTCCAATTTAGGCCAAGCTGAACAGTCTCTTATATAGAAATATTTGGGAATGGAATAGTATAAGGTAACTACTGAGATATCAGTTTAGAGATCTGGATTTCAGATCATTCACTGAAGAATAATTATA